TGGGAATTAATAAAATGTTTGGTTGAAGCAGACCATTCTTTGAAGTTGTATTCGTCTAACAACACATTGGTGATTTGTAGACTGTGCAGATTTGGGTTTTCAAGGTTTGATGATCTCCCACCAGTCCTATTGTCCTTAAAGGACACTTATCCTAATATTGTGGACATATTCTACTTCTAACAGCAATCTACAGCTGTAATCTCAAAGTGAAAGACAGGTTTTAGACCTATTGGAACTGATACTAAACTGAAAAACAAGGTTTCAGACCTACTAGAATTGATAATGGATTGGAAAAAATAGTCAATACCCTACTGAGATCAACCTTTTGTAATTCTTGAGTCCCTCCCACACCCAATGGATGTTAGAAGAGGCTTTACAACTAGAAAAAAAATCCACTAACCTGAAAGTAACCTCTGCACTAAAATTTGTAACTTAGAAGTTGTAACTGGTCTGAACTGAGAGTAGCTTTTGTAGACAACTCCAACACTTTTGGAAGTCAAATCTAGGTTGAATACACTTCTTACAATCTGTTCTAACTCTCAAATAGCAACTAGGATTGTCCACTCAGTCCTCCTTCCAAGATCTATTCTACATAGATCTCTCTAGTAGTCGAATGGCTACTGACTGCTGTAGAACACTAGCAGGGCATAAATGGGCTAGTGAAACTCTCTTTGGTCCCTACACCCAAAGAGAAACCCTAGACATAGACCTTTTTGTGATCAATGATCAGTCCTAAGGGTTTCTTCAGAGTAGCCAATACAAGGAGAGAAAAAAAATGAACAGAAGAGAGAAGAAACTAGATATAATCAGTCAGGCCGATTGGTGCTTTAGTACTATGTTTGCTGAAGTGCAGAAGTAGAAGAAGAAGGAGAAGAGAGGAGAAGAGAAGAGAAGCGTGAATGGGCGGCTATACAATCTCAATCGGCCCTAGAAGCTAATATTTGTATTAACAATATAAAATTATAGCAAAAGACTAGAATGTCCCTAATTAATGATGGGACACTTAGACAGTACAAATAAAAACCAGCTTAAGCCCAATAACTAAAGGCCCATAACACACAATAGAACTAGGACAAGGAATGATAAATAAGCCCACTAACACTTAATAACTTGACTATATATATATATATATATATATATATATAGGGTCAGGTCTACATCAGTTCAGGATTAGGTGGAACCAGTTCCGAATAGATAATAATTAGGACCTAGAACTGACCAGTTGGTTCTAGTTCCTAGAACTAGAACTGGCCCAATTGATTCAGGTTTGTCAAGTTTAACCCAACCCATTGACAGCCCTAATATATCTAATATCTCTCCCTCCTAAGTTATTTTAACAGACATTCCATATTCATTTTGCAATCAAATTATGGTTTGTCAAAGTTTATTTAATTTCTACAGTACAATGTAGGTAGTGATCAAGAAGATGAACCTAGTTTCTGAGATTTAGTAGGAGATGGAGAAGAAGTCTTGAGATGTGCTAATGGAAGGGTATCCTTCTCTATGAACAACTAAACACAATTTTTTATGAGAGGAGTGGGATGATAAAGAAAAGATATCAGAAGAAGAACAAGATCTATCTTGGATTCTTGAAGTTGTTGATTGAGATTGAGATGAGGAGTCAGTAGAAGAGAGGATGGAGAAGGGAAAGAAAATTAACAAGATGATTATTGCTACTGCTTTAGGAGTAGCATCACCATCACCTCCTCCTTTGCCATCAAGAGGCATTGCTGAACATGGACAAGAGGAATGGAGGTACATGTATTGTGTAGGTGATAGAAAAGAGACATTGTAAGACTACCTTGAGTCGGGGACATAACCGTTTGATAATGCCCAGTAAGCAAATAAAGGAGGAGTTTCAAACGAGAGAGGAGAGGGAGAAACTGAGGAAGGAGACAAATGCAAGGATGAGGGTGGTGGTTGTGACCTCATTGCTTAGCAAGGGTTACTCTTATGTGCTAAATGGTTACTCTTATGAGGGTGGTGATTCTAGACACTGAACTTTTCTTGGTGGAACCCTTTGGCAATGGTTACTCTTATGTGCTAAATGGACAGTGGAACGACCTAATTGCTTAGCAAGGGGAGTGGCACCCCAAGGTTCACTCAATCTAGGTTTGGTCTTTTCGTTTCCCACAACCCACCCAAGGCTCCAATCTTTGCTTTGCTCTTAATGTGGTTCCCCTTAAACTAAGCCAACAAAAAAGAAAGGGAATATGAAGAGAAAGCAGAAGGGTTCACCTTCACCTCTTCCTCTACCATCAAACCTAGGACGAGCATATGACATAGAGATGCCTAAGGCATTACTGAATGTGATCAAGAGCCATGGAGGTACATGTATTGTGTAGGTGATAGAGAAGACACTGTACATGACTGACTTGTACCCAAGACATAACTCGTTTGATAATGCTTAGTAAGCAAATGAAATTGGTGGTTGTGGATCCAAGGTGTAGGTTTTGGACATTGAATTTTACTTGAGGGAACTCTTTCGGCAGTGATTACTCTTATGTGTTGAATTGAGCATGGAACGAACTCGTTGCTCATCAAGGGGAATGGTGCCCCAAGGTTCATTCAATCCAGGTATGGTCTTTTCATCTCCCACAACCCACCCAAGACTCTAATCGTTGCTTCGCTATTAACATGGTCTCACTAAACTAAGCCACAAAAATGATTTGAAAGAGAATAAAAAGAATATGAAGAGAAAGCAAAAGGGGTTGTCAGAATTATTATGGTTGATATATGGTCTATACTATGGGAATTTTTATTATTATCTACAAATTAATTATTTATTATGTTACTTTTTAATTAATGACTTTTATAAATTATTAGTTATTAATTTTCATTTATTTTTATAAAACAATAAAAAATATTTGTCATGAATATTTAATAATTTCATTAATTTTCACATAATAAAAATATCTGGAATTGATTAATCTTTGCAAAATAATGAAAATATATTTTTTGATTATTATCTGAAAATTAATTAACTTGTTAAATATTCATGAAATATTTTCATTGATTTTTAGAAAATAATTTTTATACTTTTTCAGAAAATAATAAAAAATTCATGAATATTTAATAGTTTCATTAATTTTAGATAATAAATTTACCATATGGTCGATACCTAGCATATATCCCTTTGATCATTTTTGTTATAAAAAAAATTGGATATTGGGTTTTCGCAAGCATGGCACAGGTCCTGCTATAAATCTTTAATGCTGTGTTTGGTTTGAAGGAAAAGGTAGGGAAAAGAAGGGAATTTTCCTATCTTTCCCTACCTTTTCCTTCAAACCAAATATAGCGTAAATGTTTAATAGGAACAAAAAAAAATATTTACTTGAACTTGATTTCAAAATATTAATTTTCATTATCCGTTGGATTAAGAATTGGGATATTGGATTATTGGATTATTGGATTCGAAATCGATCCATTTAGACCCCATACACCTCGTGTGTGGGTCTAAAGTTCTAAACTCGCTCCGCTCGATTCGTTGCTACTAGGGGTGAGCATTCGAAAAAATCAAAATTTTAAAAACCAATTTAATAATATGGTAAACCGAATGAAAACCGGATAAACTGAACCGAATTTCTTTTCGGCTATTTCAGTTAAAACCGACTCAGCCAATCCAAGAGAGAAATGACAACTACTACTTCCCTTCCTGCCGGCTGCCGGCTTATATCCGGTGGTAATCAACCATCCATCCCGACAAGCGAACTATGCAAAGCTGTTAATGACTGCCGAGATTCTCAGTTTGAACTTCATTTTACTTTTGATGAAGGGAAATTTGGCCCGACCTCGCGATCGCCCGACACGTGGTAAAGGCAAGTAGCTCGGGACAGTAGAGCGCCCAAAGCGAACATCGGAAGCAAGTCCAAGCTCACTACCGAGCCCGAACTCCAGACCGCTATACTTAGTCCGAGCTCCTTGTTAAGAGCGAGCTCCCTGTTAAGAGTCCGAGCTCCCTAAGTCCGAGCTCCCTACTAGGAGCCC